ACAGAGGATTCTCAGCTCTTAACTGGCTTTACTGTAGGAGAAACTGCAGTCAGAGCTCGTGTCTGTTTTTTGACATCCCAGCGAGTAAGTTGTGAGACTGCAGGAAGTGCCAGCGTACTTGGCTCTAGTCCTTCACTTTTTGGTTTTGGGTTTTTTTTCGTGTGAAAGGAATGCTGTAATGTTTGAGAATGGAATATAATGTTCTTCTGTTTAAGTTATGAAATTGTGTGTGCAGTATTCTGTGCTACGAAGTTATCTATGGTAACTTCACAAACAGAAGCAGCTCTGATTAAATCACAGAGATAAAATCAGTCCAGGTAGTTACCCAGTAGTGCCACAGAGAGCAAAAGTAGTAAAGGACTGCTACTTCTCAGCTTTTAGAAACTGTTCAAAGCACTTTGAAAAAGTGACGGGTGAAAAAGGGTGTGAGTGAATCTCTTATGTTTATTTACATTTGGTTATTGGTGAGAGGAAAAAAACCAAACTAGTATTTCTTTTCACCTCTAGACAGTAGAGATAAGAGAGGTTTTCTTGCCGTTCACCCCACCAGTGGTGGTTCACACTGATGGAAGAATGACGCAGAAAGATCCAGATGTGGTTTTAAGTTTAACATGTGCTGATAACCTTTGTATGCCCAAGGCCCTTTTTTGATTTCTTGTTGGTGGCACTGAAAAGAGCGTATGTGTGTTTTCTGAAAAGGGCTTGTTTGTTTTTTTTATTTACTTTTGAGTAAAAAAGAGTTTTTCCCTTCCATCTAAAGACAGACTTCTCAGTGGATGTCCTGGCAGTTACCCTTCTATTTTATTGAAGTGTTGCCCTTGTAGTTACACATTTGGTTTGTATTTGCTCGTGCTGGTTCTTACTTCTCTTTCCAGAGAGCCAAATGCATTATTAATGTTTAGGTTGCTTCAGGACATAAGAAAGTGAGTGAGCTTGCTAGTAGAACTCCTGCCAAATGAAGAATTGAAGTATGGGATTCTTAAAAGGATGATGATGATGATTCTACAGCTGTGTTGTTGTCTAACATGTTGATGATTATATAAAAAAAAGGAAGAAACGTCCAAAAAAGACTGGACCGTACATCAGTTTAGTGAGTTTGGGAATCATTAGAGACCTTATCCCTGTTTTATTCAACCCCACAAGAGGGTGCAGCAGCTTTGGGCTAAGTTCTGGAGAAACATGTCATAGTTCGAAGCAGAGGGTGTATGACAAACTTTACAGGTATATTTTGAGTAGCTTCTTACACACTTATAAAGTGGGAGCACTGTGGAGCACTATGGATAGCTTTTGGTCACCTTAAACTGTACTCAGCTCTTGTTTGCACACGTTGTAATTAAATTTACTTTGACCTAAGTGGATAGCCAGGAGTGGGAATTGATGAAAGCAAGCACTGCAAATGCGAGGCTTGGAAATCAACTCTGGGGCAGAAAGAAAATCTGAAAACAACAAATCATACAAAAAGTGGAAGATAATGAAGCCAAATGGAACAGAATAGAGAGTCTTGCAGTTTTGTGTTGCCATTTCTGTTCTGTCACCCCTATTGTTACAGAACTCGGGAACGTATACTTTGGGTGAGAAAGCTTTCTTTCATTTTTTGGTAGCAAACACTTTAAATGCAACCAGAAAGTCTCCAGTTAAACTCTAGTGGTGCTGAAGGAGGTAGAGTAAAATAAATTACAAATAGCTATAAACACTGCCTTAACTTGCTTTTTGGTTATGAGAGCAGTGAGACTGAAATGAAGGCTGCAGCGTGGCAAACATGAAGTGCTGCCTTGCCTGGTGATTCCAGGGTGTGCGTTGTAAATCATCAGTGAAAATCTACTGCAGCTGCTTATTATCCTCAAAGAGGAATTACCTAGTGGCTGTTCAACAGCGTATACAGCTTTGGCTTGAGCTCACTCAAATGCCTATGGAATGGGTCACACTGGAGCACTCTACATCCATGAACAGCACTAGCTGTCAGTTCTGTAGTCAGCTTGCTAAAGAGGGACTGATGATGAGTGGAGGTTTGGCTTTTGTTTTTTTCTTTTCCTTCTACTGCTGTGGTTCATTTTTCTAATTCAGTGACTGTAGTTTTAGCAAAAGTATAGAGAAGTGGTTTCTGTAGTTACTTCTGCAGTGCTCGGTTTTCCAGAACTGACTGGAAAGCAGTCCATTACTTTTGGTCTTTTGCCTCATTCCCTGGACATCGGTACCACATGTGAGTTTACAGTGGGTAATTCATCTACAGGGCCTGTAATCAGTAAGCTAAGTCACTGTTTTGGAGGATTTACAAGATATGTAGTTCTTCTTGATTATATAAATGTAAATAAATAAACGTTTATAGACTTGCTCCTGATGGTAATCACTGCGATAACAAAATATTTCTAAACTACTTAGAGCTTTGCAGCTGTCACATGCTTGTGAGGTGAAAAAGACTATTTACAGATAGGGAAACAGAGAAAGTCAGAGGAGAAGGTTCATGGTTTCCTTGAAGGTAGCAAGGAAGCTGGACCTCCAATTCTCCTCTCACACAAATCTTTACCTCTCTCTTACAGGTCCTACAGCTGGGCTGGTATTGTGCACCTCTTTGAAAAATACCAGTCCTGTTTTTAATGATAGTGTATGCGAGCAGAAATGTGGGAGACAATAAAAGAGTTTTTTCAAATATATTAATGGAATTAGGCAGTATAGAAATATCATTGGCCCGTTCCAGGATCAGGATGTTCACCTCCCATACAGCAGAGGAGTTCAGTGTTTTCTTTGCCTCTGGCTTCAACATGGATGATGGACCAAGGGGGTCTCAGTGCCCTGAGCTGGAGGACCATAAGTGCGAGAACAAGCAACTTCCAGTCGACCCTGAAATTGTGCAGGATCTGCTGCTCCAGCTGGATCCCTGAAAATCTATGTGGCCTGCTGAGATTCATCCCAGAATCGTCAAATAGCTGCTGATGTCATCAGAAAACCTCTCTTGATGGTTTTGGAGTGGTCTTGGGAATCCAGAGAGGTCTCAGATGACTGGAAGCTGGCAAATGTTGTCCTGATTTTCAAGAAGGACAAGATGCAGGACCCTGGAAACTACTGCTACTGCGATTGAGGCCTGTCAGTCTCACTTCAGTGCCTGGAAAAGTTATGGAGAAGATTATTCTGGGAAGTATTGAAAAACACCTGAAAGACAGTCATTGTTCACAGTCAGCACAGCTTCATGAGGGGAAAGTCCTGCTTATCCAACCTGATTTCCTTCTATGGCAAGGCAACCCACCTAGCTGATCAAGGGAAGCCAACTGGATTTGAGTAAAGCTTTTGATCCTGTCTCTCCCAGGATCCTTCTGGACAAACTGTCCAGCCCACAGCTGGATAAACACACCGTGTGGTGGGTGAGCAATTGGCTCACGGGTTGAGCACAGAGGGTGACAGTGACTGGAGGGACACCAGACTGATGACCTGTCACTGGTGGGGTTCCACAGGGCTCCATGTTGGGCCCTGTGCTCTCCAACATCTTTATCAGTGACTTGGATGCAGGACTGGAAGGGACACTGAGCAAGTTTGCAGATGACACAAAACTGGGAGGAGCTGTTGACTCCCTCGAGGGCAGGGAGGCCCTGCAGAGAGACCTGGACAGATCCCAGAACTGGGCAATCACCAATCAGAGGAAACTCAACAAGGGAAGTGCCGGATTCTGCACCTGGGATGGGCCAACCTGGGGTGTATGGACAGACTGGGGAATGAGAGGCTGGAAAGCAGTGCCAGGAAAGGGTCCTGGGGGTCCTGTTTGATGGCCAGTTGTCCATGAGTGCCCTGGCAGCCAGGAGGGCCAACCCTGTCTTGGGGGGCATCGGGCAAAGCATCGCCGGCTGGGCCAGGGAGGGGATTGTCCTGCTCTGCTCTGACCTGAGGCAGCCTCACCTGCAACATTGGGGCAGTTTTGGGCACAGGTAGTATATAAGAAAGATATTAAGGCATTAGAGAGTGTACAAAGCAGGGCAGTGAAAATGGGGAAGGGCCTGGAGGGGAAGCCATATGAGGAGCAGCTGAGGGCACTTGGTGTGTTCAGCTGGAGAAGATGAGGCTGAGGGGAGACCTCACTGCAATTACAACTTCCTGGTGAGGGGAAGACACTGAGGTCTGCTCTGTGATGACCAGTGACAGACTTGAGGGAATGGCCTGAAGTTGTGTCAGAGGAAGTTTAGGTTGGCTATTGGAAAGAGGGTCTTCCCCCAGAGGGTGGTTGGGCACTGGAACAGGCTCCCCAGGGCAGGGGTCACAGCATCAAGTGGCAGAGTTCAAGAAGTGTTTGCATGATGCTCTCAGGCACAGGGTGTGACTCTTGGGGATGGTCCTGTGCAGGGTTGGACTCAATGATCCTTGTGGGTCCCTTCCAACTTAGCATATTCTGTGATATGAAAGAAGTTTTAACTTTTAAAAATAAGATCTATAATGAAGTATAATTAAAGTTGTCACAGCTTTTGTGCAGAATGTGACCACACTGCCTACTGTGATTATCTGGTCTTGCAAATTACTCTTAAGTAAATTAGCTTGATAAGAAGCACCCTTTCATATTATATAACTATAATATATTTATAATGTATTTATAATATAATATATAAATTCTACTTGTAGGCTTGATATAATGAGGAGTTCATGACCTGTATAAAGTTTCATATGCTTTTCTTAGTTGAAAAAAGAGTATTTAAATATATACGAATATATGTTATATCCTGTAACATGGCATAGAGAAAGAACTCACCTGTAGAGGTTGTATTGACTGCAAGTGTTTTGTCTTATGCAAGCCTGACCTATGAAGTTAGAGGACTTCATTTAATTGAACAGGGCATATTGCTTTGCATTCTGTGATTAGTTTCAAAACAAAACTGTAGAGATATCTAAAAAGTTAGAGGGGACACAGCTCCATAACATTAGCATTTAGTAGAATAAAATCCTAATACAAAGTAAAACACAGCAACTGTGTGAATTACGATGTTTTTCTTTTTTCTTTTTTTTTTTTTTTTTTACCATCACAGTTTCAAAGAACATTTGAATCTTTAAGAAATGTATCCAGTAAATCTGAGCTACAGAAAACCTACCAGAAGTTTCGAAAAGATCTGGAAAATCTGGATTATTTGGCATACAAACGTCAGCAGGTAAGAACACGGAAGCTTGGTAAGAAGACATAGAATACTGGACATAAACCCGGTGGATGGTAAAAGGGATGTGTTTGATTGAGGTCCCTGTCCTGTCAGTAGGGTTTTGTGCTTTGTGCAGGGTTGTCAGGTGAGGCAGCAGGAGGGGTGACAAGGCTGTTTAATGCGTATGATATTGAACTGCCTGTGTTGTGATTTCTCAGCAGAGAGGAGGACAGGCAAAGCAAGTAAGTGAGGCTTAGCAGACTATTGAATTTTGCATTAACACGTAACAGTTTATTGTTGCACTTCTATTGAAGTGCCTAGAAGTACTGTTTGCATTCTTTTACTTGAAAAATGAACTAAATCCGTAAGTTAATGGAATTTTATACTGACTGTACATTCAAACCACTAATTGTTTCTTCTTTAGAAATGAATTTCTGAGGTTAGATTGCGTAAAACTTTGAAGTGTACACAGTCTTAGACTTGTGCTTGCAAGATCAAGGTTAAATTGAATTATTAACATGTATTTAATGTTAGATATTCTGTCACTTATACATAGCTTATGTGAGAATGTCAGCTCTCATAATAAGTATTCACGTTTTTTTTGTCTTGGTAACATAAGACTTTGCCCCTTTTAGTGTGCAGGAGAAATGCTGTGACACTTCTTGTTGTGGCTTGTATTTTCCTTAAATCTGTCGCTTGGTGTCAGTGTTGTCAAACAGTTCATTTGCTTGGGAACAAATCACTTGCAGGTGTTTCTATCAATATAATTGATTAGATTACCTGGGTCTTAGTTAATTTGCACTGTATACCTGAGCAGTAGTTATATGGTTATACTGAATAGTATTTTATCTGCTTGTTGATACCAAGATTTTCTCAGTATATCTCAATAGAACTTGCTGCAGAATCTGCAGTGAGGGATTTGAAAAGGTGCTGTATCTATTTAGTATAGAAGATGCTTTGAATTTTGTCCTGCTGGGATAAGGAAGTGATTTTTCTGTGAAAAGATAGAGAATTGGTTTGAGTACTGTGCAAAAATCACAGCCCTGGTTTGGGACTGAAGCTGTTGTGAGTTTGTGACATGTTTGTGGAGTATGGGCATTTAATTGATAACAATTTATATACTCTCATATTAGCTTAAGGGTATATTCATAGCCCCACTGTCAAAATGTTGAGTAACTGCCATCTGTTTGGAGACAAACAATTATATATAATATGAATGTGAATCCATTCAAGGTAAAATAAGTGGTTTATGTACTTAAAGTAATGAATGTTGCTTTTGAATGAAATACAGTTATCCGCTTCTGTCCTTTTTCTTCAGACATAAGGCATGAAGTGGAATATAGCAATGTGATTCTTCAGTGGTAAAATTTACAGGACAGATGGGAAATTGAAACTGTGCCTTTTAAATGTTGCTTCAAATGGCCCACATTGACTCTGATTTATAAGCATAGACCACACGTCGATGAGTGGTAGCAGTATACAAGAAGCAAACTTGTTTGGAATGGTGGTTTATATTAAGCTGTTTTTAACTGGCAATGTTCAGAATGTGGTAGATCATCCCGAATTTTCAGATAGCCAGCAGATTGCCAACAAAAATGTCTCTTTAAAATGCTCAGTGAGGTCAAGAATGCAGTTCTGCCTTTCTTTATACTAAACCCCCAAAGTTATTAGCAGATGTTGATCAGCCTTTCAAAACTTCAGGTTCTAATTTTGCATGTGGTTGAGTTGAGCTGGTGTGGAAGTGGTCAGGGCAGCTAAATTCTTTGGTGGTTACAGAACAGGAAGATGAGAAGTTCTTGGAGTTGGAGACATCGTGTTGGAAAGCAGAATGATGTGGATGCCATCTAGTATTTTGGTCAAGAAGCCTGAACAATGCTCTTTGCCATTCTTCTGTGTCCCAAACATGATATGAAGTATTAAACCACTTCTATATGTCACGTCTTGTTACTGTTGCTATCTGTAGAGGACTCCCAGTGTGCTCAAATCTGCTTTAGTGTGTTAAACTGACTTAAAATTCCTTGCTTTTCGGTGATCTCAATATTTTGTTGCTCACTTGCTTGCTTATTGCTCTCTCTCCTCAATCCAGATGGATGTCCCTTCATCCATGAAACTTATGGTGACCTAATCTTTCTGTGTGCTTCCAGGGTTGTGTTGCATCTGCCAGAGAAATTCCTTTGGGTTGGGTACATCAGTTTATAGTCAGGCTGCCATTTTGAAGCCTGCCAGGAGATTCCGCTCTCTCAGAAATGTAGTTTTTCTTTCTTGTCCAGGAGATAGTCTAGCAACTCCTTTGAACTAAAACAAGCTTTTGATTTCCTTGATACTGTCTCATCTCTGAGATTTGACTAAAAAAGAATAGCTCCATACCACAGTGAGTAGTAGAACTGTTCTCTTGCTCTGTGACTTTTTGGAATGTTTCCAGTAAGAGCTAAGTCGGCTTTACATGGGTTTGGATTAACCTAAATATTAACACATCTGCAATATAAATAATTACAGGGGAAATGGGATAGGACAAAATGGTAAAGCACTTGGGGATAAGAGAGGACTCTGATCCCAACACTGCTCTGGAATACTGTAGTAGGTGCAGGCTTCCTTTTTTCTTGTGCGTGTCTTTGTTCCTATTGAAGGGAAGTGGTCCATATATTGTTCAGCTGGAACAGTACTGGTTTAAGGCTATTCATTATAATTATGTTACTGTAAGGTCATTTCTGGAGTATTGGGCAATAGCTACAATAAAAATGGAATTATAATCAAATCCAATGGTATTTAGCACCTGTCAAACTGAAAAATTATCACAGTTGCTGCTGGTTTCAGTGTTAACAGTGCCTTTAGGGTGCTGCTGGCTGTAATCCAAAGACACTTCGTTTTTGCCTAGAATTCTCCATCAGTGTGGTCATCTAACTGTTGACAACAGGACTTTAGTATGTGTACACACACAAAAGCAGTATCCTGTTGTAAAGCTATGCTAATTTAAAGCTTCCTTATTTGATCTGATTTTGGTTTTGGTTGTATTCCCTCAAGGTAATTGTGTGTTAAAGTTCTGAATCTATGTGAAACCAGTTTCGTTATTCCATTTTAAAATCCTTTTAAGATTGCTTTCTGATGACTGTTGTGTTAGAAATTCAAGAAGTTAAGGGCTGTATCAAAGATGCTTATGGGGCACACTTCTGCTTATGGGAAATAATGTTTCCAGGAGATGGAGCAGAGCCATTGCCTGTTTTAGCATTAGCCCATTGTTACCTGTCTTCATGACCATACAGGCCAAATTTGCATTTTAAAAGTTTTGATTTTGAATGCAGACTTGCTCCTAGCCCATTGTTACCTGTCTTCATGACCATACAGGCCAAATTTGCATTTTAAAAGTTTTGATTTTGAATGCAGACTTGCTCCTACAGTCAAATAATATTTCTTTTTGTTAAAATGGACCGAGTGCACTTTTATTCTCTGCCTTTGATTGTTCAAAACTTTGGAGGGAGAGAATTGAGAGGGTGAACGTGTGAAAACTTGTGGAGCAAACAGTTTACAAAGTATGCTGAAATTTGGAGGGAGCTAAGGGGGAATTATTTGTTGTTCAGAAAACAAACATAATGATAGAAAACATAAGGAACTCAGTCGTGAGGCTTATCTGGAAAAAGTTATGGCTTAGAAATGTCAGAAATAGAGGTACTTAATTAAAACTCTGTTCTAGTACACAGAAATATGACAAAATCCAATGGATGGAAGTCAGAAAAATTCAAACAAGAAAGCAAATAAGCATTTTTGACAATTAACTACAGAGATGGCTTAGTTAAGAGGTGCAGTACATTAATCATTGCTTGTAGCCTTTATATCCATTATCCATGCCTTTCTAAAAGATATGGAGAAACTGAGATGCAAATAAAAGGGCAGGAATTAGGAAATTTTTATGGCTTGTGCTATTTAATGAATTTGAATGAGAATTCACTTCTTTTTTTTCTCTAGACTTAGGAATGACAGTGCATTTGGTTGTGTATTTGAGGGTAAAGGCAGAATTATGTCTCTTGAATTGCTATCCTGGATTAATAATAGGTGAATTTGTTTACTTTTGTATTTACCACTCTGCCACTGTACAAACATTTGCAGGGTTGGATGTAGTGAAATCTTGTGTAGGATTTTTCAAAGAAGCCTAGGACTTAACTCTTGAGTAATTTTAAGGACATGCAGGCATTTGATTCCCATTAGTTTTCTGAAAATGCCTTCTCTCCTTTCCTCTTTTAATATTTAGTCACACAATATTGATTATAAAATGAGAGTATAGGTTGTATTTCCAGTATTCTAGCTGCTTATTATCCCTTGACATAAGAACAACTATCTATCATGTTGTTGTGTAATTAAAGTAGTTGATTTATGCATTCATTTTAAAAAAAGCAAACAACAAATCAGTCTCAGTATCTAAGAGAGTGAAAAATTATGACAGTTCTGTTTTCAGGCACCTGATGTGTTTTAGTAATTCTGTGATTATAGTTCTGTCGTTCGGCCATTGCTTCTGTCTATCCTGTGTATCTGTGTGGCTTCCTTAATGGGTAAAGAGGATTTCCTTCTCCCTGCCCACCTGAAAGTGCTGATATTCCCCTGTTTATATTTTTTTAATACATATTCAGGGTGGTAGGGAGGAAGACTTTTGTATCCCCCCTCCACATTTGCCACAGTGTGTGCCATTGTTTTCCAACCCGGCTTTTCATTTGGACTTGCCTGCCTGTAGTGCCAGTCTTGCATGATCTTAATTTGCAAGCAATTTGTATCTCACTGTGTGCAGTTTTTCTGTCTCTGCATGGAAGCTAGACCTCTGAGGGGAAAAAAAAAACTTTTCTGGGAAAATAAAACAGAGAACTTATTTTTTAAAAACAATGGTTTGGCAGCTTCTGTGTTTGGTGTGGATTTTATTTTGATGTGTGTGACCCATGATACGGAGATTTGGTGAGCTCACTGTACAGCTGCTCAGGGAGCAGGGAGAGGGTTTTGCTGGTCTTCTCATATATAGAGTTTTTACTTTTAAA